CTACAATATTTAAATATGTAACGGTTAATCTAAAGTTTAAACTAAGGAACAAAACGATTTGGTTTAATTTTCTATCAGCTGTGACATGATCATTATATATTCAACATAATTAACCATACAATAAAAAATAGATACGTATGAACGGTATATGATTAATAGCCACATAATTAATTAAAATACAGTTTAAAGTTATGTGAGTGAGTAGTTATTTGGACGGACCGACGTATGATCACGTTTACGTGTGTGTTTCTGATATATATGTTTTTAATTATTATTTGGATAAATGTCTTTTTTTGTTTTTGTTGATTTGGATAAATGTCAATAAATCATTTTTGAGATAAAAAGGTTCATGCTGTTTCATACATCAGCAGACATTTTGGTATTTTTGTCTCTTTTATAATACTAAATTCCTAAAACTTTATCTTGATAAAATATAAATAGTATATACACTTAAAACTTTAAGTATATTTTTCCTGCATCTTAAAAATTATAAAAATGTTGTTCCCTTGTCTCTGTCATACGCAACAAATCGCAAAGAGACAATTTGATCATATGGAAAACAAAATAAAGCAATGCATATAGGAATATTCGAATATACTACATAATATTGTTAGTGTTCGTCTTATTACATAGAAAATATTGGTGAAATCATAAAACTAAATTAACTGCGTAATCTCTGAATTGTTTTGATTAAGAAACTAAAATTTCAGAATAACATAAATGCACTATCTAATCCTCTATTGTCTAATACCTAAGATTGATAAATGTATTAACTAATTACACATGATTCTTGGAATTATTAATTGTAGACAAAATCAAAACTCGAATATTTCTATCCACAAAGCTAAAATACAAGAATTCTTTAAGGGTTTGGAGAAAAAAAATCAAAACTCGAATATTTTCTATATACAAGGGCTAATAATATACAAGAATTCTATGTGAGCTCCACCAAAAGATAACATAAGAAATTAAGAACTATAATAAATTGTATATTAAAAAATTTCCTCCAAATCATTTGCTGATGCGAAAACCTAATCCAGCATTTATACCTAATATAATAGCAGAATATAAAATTATTATTTTGTAATTTTTAATAAAGAAGATCAGTCAGCGACATTATATAAAAATTAAAGTGTAAAATATTAGTGGCATCATGACGAAGAAAGTAAGGTGAGAACCATGAACTAAAAATGCCACCGTGTTCCTGACTCAGCTTTGAATGTGACATACAATAATCACTTTTCATGTTTACTTGCAATTACCATTTTGTTCATACTATTGTTTTACTAATTTCTTTTGATTCTTAATACACATATACTCTAATTAGCTAATAATGATGTTAGTCTAGTTTTTTTTTATGCGAAATGTTTTTCCGAATTTGTATTTGGAGTTGGTTTTACAACTATCGGTTTTGTTTTTGAAAAATCGTCGGTTTTAGATTTCATCAAATTTATTATTGAGATCACGTTCAATGTATAAATAAAAAAAGTTGGCGAGTTTAGTAGATGCCGTTCCAAAACTTCTACAATGATAGCATTCATGTGGGTATAATGACTTTAGAGTTTATTATTGAGATCATGTTAAATGTATAAGGAAGCTTGAATGATCAGTGGCGGAGCTATGTGGAGAGGAGGGGGGGGGGGGTCAGTTGACCCCAATGACTTCTATAAAATTTATCTTGCATGCATATGAAATCTTTAATTTGTGGATGATTTGGTTGCTTTAGGTTCAAAAACCTTGCCATTGCACCCTTGCGATATAGTTTTTCATTCGTATGTTGATTTTTTATTTTTCATTTGACATGTTTGCATTTAAAAGAATATTTGACATAGTTTTTAAAGGATCTTTAATTTCGTTCTTTCTCATATATTTTAGTTTAGTTCTAATTTTATTCATCCTATAATTTTTATATATAAATATTAACCCCCGTAAAAAATATTTCTGGCTACGCCACTGTGTGA